TAAAAGGATACCAAAGCCGCCTTTCCTAATAAAGGAAACTAAGCTTACAGCTAGTCGGCTTATGTTAACACCGAGTTGAAAGCGGCCTTTTGTGGCTTTTGGTGCTTTGCCGTATGAACTAACTTTATGACGGAAAATGAACCTGTGTGTCCATGTAAAACACATACATTTTGTAACAGTCTTATTGTTTTAATCTTCTAATAATTCAATGTTTAGCGTAATAATTTAAAATTAAAAATTTTCTTCAATATAAGTTATTAAGAATAACTCAAAAATTATTGGTCAGACCTTGATCAAATTTATATGGGACCACACGAGAAGTACCAGCTTTCAAACAAAAAAATTCACCCAGTAAAGAGTTATGAGGTAACACACATAAAAAAAAAACAAAAAAAATACAGTCGAATTGAGTACCGTCTCCTTTTTGGAAGTCGGCAGAAAATACTTAAGAAATAAAATTTTATTCCCTAAATAAGTATTTCTTGCTAAATATAACGAAGGTTTTCTATAGAATCAAAATAATATTTTTATTAAATCCATTAAACTACTGGAAAACAGTTTTTCACAATACAATTAAAGTTCAAGATCTTTCATCTGAACAACCACAATAGAAAATTTCTAAGAAGCCTTCCCCACTCACAGTAGTCGGATCGTTTATAGCAGAACTGTTCACGCACCGGAGGCGCTGCTCCCTTTCACCGACCTGAATATTTCAGGTCGTGTATTTTAAGATGGCGATTTCGCTATTTAATAAATACCACTACTTTTCCTTGACATGAAAATTTTCATTCAAAAATTTTGAGTAGGAAAATAACAGGAACGACAAAAAGGGAACAATTCATTTATAAAAGCAAGAATTTTGTTAGGTCCGCAATCCTAGCCTGAATTATATCTTGCCAAACAAACCTTTTTCAACCGACTTCAAAAAAGGAGGAGTTTCTCAATTCATCGGAATCTTTTTTTATGTATGTTCATCGATTACTCGAAGACGTCTGAACCGATTTCGAAAATTCTTTTCTTGTTTAAAAGGTATATGTATATCCCAGTTGGTCCCATTTAAATTTTATCGAAATCGGTGGAAGGGTTTTTAAACAATCAACAATAAATTAATAATATTGAAGTCGGTTGTACAAAAATTTTAATTTTGCCACTTGTAATAAAAATAAAAGTTCTACAATTTTCCCACTTGCAAAAGGAAAGGAAAAAAACATGATTACTTTTTTTGATATATCATTTTGGTAGCAACTGGAGCGAGAAAACATGCAGTTTCTAATATCATAACTTTTTTTTTTAATAGAATCGGGCGACAAGCTGGGGTAATATAGCTTGGATACTGTGGCCCATAGAAATCCACATTTATCCTCGATTAGGAATCAAAATGCAGCTGCGTTGTTACTCCAGAGGACTATGATAGAATGCCTCGTTTCCAGTAAAAAGGGTCTCTGGTTCTCTTTACTCCCCCGGTCGAGCCGACCCATTCGTGCTACAACTATAATATAGCTGCGGCGTGGCTCTACCAAGTAAAAACGTTTCATCATTTATTCACTGTATACTCCGATTTAATACTATCTTTAAATATAAAAGAGGATGGTCCTGAGTGACTGACTCATCCCACTCACAGCCTAAACCGCTAAACAAAGAAATCTGTGATTTGGACAGTAGCTGCTTAGAGGACGAAAAAGGGTGTTACAATTTGTATGCAACCTTTTATTTTACAGGACTATTAACTCGAAACTTACTAAAAGTACTGTTTAGAAAAAATTTAATGAATACCCATTTTGGCAGTTTTCAAAACAACATTACGGGGAACGGGGTCGAAGGGTGTTCAAATTTGTATGATGAAAAAATAGTTAACGGTTTTTTTTTTAATTTTAAAAGTGGTGCAAATGTAATACTCTCGAATTCAAGTTAATAAGAATTCGTATTTATGCTTTAGTTCAAAAATTAGAGACACGTGTTTCAGTATTCTTAACAACTCTACCTGTAAAGAGGTAAAATTAAGGATGAAAGATTGTTTGCAATTCTGCCATGTTTTAATTATTAATAGCACTATCATAAACTTTCGATCACAAACTAAGTAGCTAGTGTTTAACGATTTTTGGATACCCTAAAAATAGGGAATAAAAGATATTACTAAATTGCAAACTATTTTGTTGCGGTTTTTAAATCAATCAATCAATACATTCTTTTGTCATTTTAAGTGCTGATTTACCATATGCTCGGCGGTGAAGGTATAAAAAATATTTCGAAGACATATGAAGTTCGCCAACACACATTGGGGCAGCGCGGCCACTTCCTTGCCTTAAAAACCCTCTCAGAAATGAGGTGGAGGCCTGTGCCCAGCAGTGGGACGTATTGAGGCTGTAACTTTAATCAATACATTCTTCATTGTGCACCAATACACATTGAAACAAAGACAGAATTAAATAAATAAAGGTCTTATTACTGGAAGTGATTTCTTCCAGAAAACCTTTTTACCCGAATCCCAAATAATTGTTTACAGCGTATGGCTAGGAGGAGGTACATATAAATTATAAAATTATATTAAAAATGAAAAAAAAATGAAAACACAAGATGATAACAGTTGGGGAAAGTAGGCTAGATACATGAAAAGGCTGGAAGTATAATGGGACTTCTTGAGTTCTAAGTGATAAGCTATGAATAGATTTTTGAAAGAAAAAGGGATTGAGCGCGACGATTATATAGAGGCAAGGAGTTCCACATGTGTATAGCTGTGACATACATATATAAACACTCACGCCTGTCACCCAGAGGGGTAGGCAGAGACTATGGACTTCCATTTGGCGCGATCCTGATTGATCTCTCTCGCCTCCTTTACATCTATATACCTATGCATACACGCTCGTCATTTAAGGGTACTCTTAATTTGGGCCATTTTCATTTTCCCATCGCTATTTTGGTCGATAAACTTTCGTCTAGGGCGTCCCTTCCCGACTCTGCCGTTCACATCTGCTACGTAAATTTGCTTTGTCACTCTTTCCTCATTCATTCCTTCTACATGACCAAACCACCGAAGCATTCCTTTCTTAATCCTGGTCACAACATCATCTTGCAAACCACACTCTTCTCTTATCACTCCTTAATGACTGCATTTCTACAGCATTTATTATACTCTCATGCTTCTTGTGGCACACCCAACTTTTACTACCATACATTAAAGTAGGGACTAACACAGCATTGTGAATTGCCATACGTGCCTTTTTGGACACATTCTGACTTTCCACAATAGAGTTGTAGAAAAAATAGAGATACCTAGAGGTAAGGAGTTTCACAAGCGTACAGCTGTGAGATAAAAATAAATGATTTATGAAAGAAGGAGGATGAATGTACTGAGATTCGAAGAGAAAGATTGTTAAAGTGGTTTTTACTATTCAAAAGGCCTTAGTCTAACTTAAAATCTGCGACCATGGAAGCGGGTAACACCGCGTGCGGAAAGCTAGTTTACAATAATTACATGATTGGAGCGACTGCACTGTATTATAAAGAATGCAATATAAAGCAATACTACCGTATTTTAGCTGTGATCGCTCCGCTTTGATTTTTCTTCAAAGGGTTAAAATGGCGCCCTTACGTTTCATGGACAGTCACAATAGGTTTCCGGATCTCGTTCAATATTATTTATATTGACAAATTTTGTAAAAAATGAAAGGTACATAAAATGTATTGTCGTCAGTGGTGTGTCTTTCCTAGTGTAGTGGTGTTGTGAGTAGTGGTGCTGGGATTAGTGGTGACGGGGATAGTGCACGCAATTGAGGGAGGGCGGGAGGTGCTCTTCAAACTAGGTAAGACACATCATTTTATTTTATCGTGCGGATGTACGCAAAGTAATTTTTTGACAACTTTAACATAAAATCCGCCAAAACGTATTGAGGCAGCTCGCGGACTCTTTCTTAGATGCCCAACAATTAGCGTTACATTCGCTGTAGCAAAAGGCGACGAAAGTTTTAAACTTCAAGATATGGGTTCATTGAACTCATTTTCTATAAAGCTGGAATGACAAACGAACTTACCTACATTATGACACTTAAGTGACCACTGCAGTTTATGGACATCTGCAACCAACTTCAAACAAAGAAGTCTAAAGATGCGTGGTCACCTCTGAAAACTAAGATTGAATGCCGTACAGCCTGTAATTAAACGCTATCTTTACCTTGCTTTGTTGAGCTTACTTAGAGACTGGGATACAGCAATGCAAGTACTGTTATTTGGAGGCTGAAATATGGAATAAAGTGGTACATACCCAGACGGACTTTTGGGCAAAGAAGGAGTCCCACCTCGTAAAGTCAATATCAATTTCCAAATCACGACTAAGTAAAGAAGATATTTCTCTATTTTACGTTCATTTCTTTTGGTAAAGGTATCTATAAAACATATATATGAAAGATACACCTACATAGAGGATTTCCCTGAATCGTCACGCTTACTAGACGGATTGACGAGCGCATTACCATACGTCTCGCACCTTTAAGGCCGGCCATATACATACGGAATTCCGTTTCGGAAATCCGAACGGGTCGGCCACACACATTCGGAATCCCGTTTTGGCCGCAAAATTTCGAACGGAAAACTACCGTACGTGTGTGATGTCTCCTTGGTTTTATATGCACTGGCTGCGTTCGGAATTCCGAATCGGAATATCGAAACGGAATCCCGAAACCCGTTTGTATTAGGCGGGCCTTACGACCTTCTGGACGTAATGGGATGATGTATTTCTCTTACACTACCACCACAAATTAGATGTAGTATATAAAGTTTTGCTAAAACTCAGGGTAAAAAAGAATTTTGTTGAAGAAATAAAAAGATCTGTTTGAACCGTACAGAAGCGGACCGCATCTTTCCACGTATAAAGAAGTTATAAATGTAATCGAATTGATTTCATTTGTAAGCCGGTTCGCAGCTCCGGCTCATCTGATGCGTATTTTGTTGAGTTTCGTATGTCCACCACTACAGAGCAAGAATGAACAACGTGTACTCCGCAGGCACACGTGAGCAAGCGTACGTGTACGCGATATCGGCGGCGGCGTTGTCGTGGTCGGTGGCGCGCGCGTGCGCGGCGGGCGCGCTGGCGGCGTGCTCGTGCGCCGCGCCGCCCCGCGCGCCGCCGCGCCCGCCCCGCGAGGCCGCGCCGCCAGAGCCGCACGCACGATTCAAATGGGGCGGTTGCGGCGATAACTTTCAATGGGCTGAAAGGTATTGTTGTTATTGCTTTCGAAAAAGAAATTCCTTCTATTATTATTACCAGTTTTTGTTGCGACAAACGAACTATCGCTTATCATATTCTATCTATAAACACGTTAACTTAAAACAAAGACGTCTCCGGATGCGTTATCTTCACTGAGTAGCAAAAAACGCCTAGTCCGCTGTTTATTTCTCGTTCTTCATAACTTTCCAACTGAAAGAAGTAGATTCACTGGTACTTAGAAGCAGACATATGCATAAGCGTAAACTTCCTACCCGGACTGGCTCTTGGAAAGAAAAGGGGTCGGGTGGTTCTGGCAAATAAATGTATTTTCTTTCTTTCGTTCAACCACATAACTATATCAATTACACACGGCATATATAATAATTAACATTATAACTATTAGGTTTACATGTATGAAATTGGGCTTTAAATATTATCAAGTTCAACATTACATTCTATGACTGCATTCCTAAATAAATTTTCTTAAAAATTAAGTAAAAATTGTTTGACTATACGTATTAATGTTTAATTGCAGCTACAAATCTATTCATTTATAATTTTTATTAATCGTTTTTTAATCTATCTAATGTACATAATATTTTAACATCTTTCAGATTTGCCAAACAATTTCTTGATGCTCACGAAATCGACGTTAGGGACGGCAAGATCGAAAATTTTATCGAAGTGGAAACTACGACGACTGAAAAGCCAACGACAACGACCAGATTGGAGACGACCACAGTGCCACCTGTGGTAATACTAGTAGATGATCAACCGGCACCGGCAAATATTACTGCCACGCCAAGACCTAGGAAAGGACGGCGTGGCCGAAAAAGAGTGCCAAGATCCCCACGACGGGGCAGACCTACGAGAAAACGATTTAGATCCAGGTAAGAAATTTTTATTTCAATTTCACAAGTTTATTTGGGATTGGATGTAAAAATTCTTCGTTTTTTAATGCATGTAAATATAGGATCACTTCTTTATATTCACATTGTTTACTTTCGCTGTGTCGTGACGGTGTATGTATTCTCACATCATCTTATTTAGTCACGTGGGTTTAGTGGGTGGAGGCGACCACAGAGTACCTTTGTATAAACCGACGCGACTATGGCCAGAGAATTTCATGACCTTCGATAGACGGCACCCAGATCGACGACAGGGAGCAGCCACAAGAGAGCGAAACTTTACATCCGTTACTGCAATCTCCAAACCACCTACCAAGCGTGACCTTTAGAGAAAATCTTTCCTACAATGAAAGAGGCTCATATCTACCAGTGGATATTATGGACTGTTGAAAAAAGTAGATACGGTTACGTAAGTCACTCAATAAGTTTAGAGAAATACAAAAAGCATTCTAGATACTATTAATATTTATTTTACATCTTTTCAAAATATTCTCCATCATGCTCTATACAAAGTTCCATTCGCCTAAACCAACTCTGAAAACACTTTTGCCAGTCTTGATCTGACAGTTCGGAAATCGCTTCTTCGTAGGCAGCCATGGCTTCTTCGGCGCTTGAAAAACCTTGCCTTTTATTTTTTCTTTGACTCTTGGGAACAAAAAGAAGTCACAAGGAGCTAAGTCAGGGCTGTAGGGTGGGTGACTTAGAGTTTCCATACCAGATTCCTCAATAAATGCTTTTGTTCTAAGGGAGGTATGTGAAGAGGAGTTATCGTGATGCATCATGATTCCCCGAAGTCCGGTCTTTGGTCTTCTCTCCCGCACAGCTTGAAAAGCTTTGGGTAATGCAACTGTAGTATACTATTCAGAGTTGAGTGACCTACAATTTTCCAGCATTGACGTCGACAAATGTCCGCTCAGCGAAAAAAAAACTAGCCACTATTTTTTTGCCGACGTTGCGAGGTCTTTGCTGTTTTGTCGGTAATTGTTCTTCTGAGTAGACCCATACCGATGATTGCCATTTGTTTTCCAGATCATATTGATAGATCCACGTCTCGTCACCAGTAATGCTTTCTGAAACACGCCTAGATGCCCCGTTTTCAAAACGTAGACGCTTTTCACGGCACCAATCCACACGAGTCTGTTTTCGCTTTCGGAGAGCAAACGAGGTATCTATCGACAACAAAGCTTCCTCACTCCATGATGTTGATGTAGGATGGTATGAATGCTCCCCGAACTAATGCCTACAATCTTTTCGATGTTCGTATATGTGATTCGTGGGTCTTCTCGCACCAATATTTCAGAAGTCCATACATTTTCTACCGCTACTGCTGTTTGCAGGGCCCCGCGGTTCTTTGGTCATCTTTAAGATTAATTTTATCCCTTTTGAATTCAGCAAACCATCTAAAAATTATTGCGTGTGATGGAGCTGAGTCCCCTAATGCTGATTGTAACCGTTGTAAACTTAATTGTTCGGTTAAACCAAATTTAAAATCATAATATATTGTTGCGCGCCACTATTAATGTCTTGTATAAGGCAACACTAGTTACCACTAGCGCCCTCTAGTGTCGAGTAGCAGAACTAGGAGAGTCAAGATCCTTCTAGAAATTTCGGGACCGATATGTACTCGAACATTCTAGATGTTTCTACAGTAGAAGGTTCTGGAAACTATCTGAGGCCCCATATAAAGCCGGTATAGACCACGACCGAGTGAGTATTAAATTGGCGATACAAACGTATACTTCGAAGCGATACAACTGCGAACTAAAGTGATCAGTAGTACAATTGTGTTTTATTATTAGTGTGTTTTAAGTTGTAATTAGTGTTCTGTAATTAAAGTGTCAATTTTTGTAATTCGATCGGCAGTTTTTAATTGTCTCGAACCCCAAGCTCGTAACAATATCATAGCGCGCAAATGTTCACGGTTAAGATCCATCGTTTTAAATTAAAAGCGCGGGAAGCGTTGCAGGAACATTAATAGAAATTTTTGTTAATATTGAGCAATGGGCTTATGGAGTTCTGTTTTTAAATAAATTTGCTTTTTAGAAACATATAACACCGGGTGCGTTCCATTTTTAAATTTCGAGCATTTCAAAACTTATTGAGTGACCTACGTATTTCAATGACATATAAAAAAAGTAGCATTTAGCATATAAGCATGAAATAATAGGTCTTTACCCATGAAATTGCCGTTCTGCAGTACTTACTTACTTACTTATCTTCACGCACAATCCCTGACGGGGTAGCCAGAGAGAACAGATCGCCATGTGTTACGATCCTTACATACCTCTTTCGCTTCTTTCAGATTCATTATCTTTTTTATACATGCACTGGCCATTTCAAATCAAAATAATTTTTGTTTGGCTAAGAAATCCAATTTCTAATTAATTTTATTTTAAAAAGATGGAATTATTTTTCAAAATTAGTAATTTATTTATTGATTAGCGTTAAGTTTGCATGCACGCATTTGAATATTTTTCGTAATTGTGGATACGTTAAAAATTCGAGTAATTATGGAATATGAGTACCGTCGTGGCAACAACGCGACACAATCGGCACGCAACATCAACGACGTTTACAGAGCGAATATTACAAACGAACGCACCACCTGTTATTGGTATGCCCGCTTCCGTTCTGGAAATTTCGACCTGAAAAATGAACCCCGTAATCGTCCGAAATATTTGGTCGACAATGATGAATTGAAGGTGATTGTAGAAGCTGATGATGAATTAGCAGCAGCTTTCGACATTAGCATCAAATCAATATTGGTCCATTTGTGTCAAATTGGCAAGGTAAATAACCGGCCAAGTGCGAGTCGGACTCGCGCTTGAAGGATGCGGTACCACCGTAATACATGTTTTCAGTAGGGGGACCCCCTTTAATTTTTAATTTATTTTTATTACTCGATGTTATAGCCGCAACAGAAATACACATTACGTGAAAATCTGAACTGTCTACCTATTACGGATCATAAGATACAGCCGCTGACAGACAGTCGAACGAACGAACGGACGGACGGACAGCGGAGGCTTAGTAATAGGGTCCCGTTGATTACCCTTCGAGTACGGAACCCTAAAAAGCTTGACAAATGGGTGCCCCACGATTGTGGAGGCTGATGATACTCAATCTACATCTGAATTAGCAGCAGCTTTCGACGTTAGCATCAAAACAATATTGGTCCATTTGTGTCAAATTGGCAAGGTAAATAACCGGCCAAGTGCGAGTCGGACTCGCGCTTGAAGGATTCGGTACCACCGTAATACATGTTCTCAGTAGGGGGACCCCTTTTAATTTTTAATTTATTTTTATTACTCGATGTTATAGCCGCAACAGAAATACACATTACGTGAAAATCTGAACTGTCTACCTATTACGGATCATAAGATACAGCCCGCTGACAGACAGTCGAACGAAAGAACGGACGGACGGACAGCGGAGGCTTAGTAATAGGGTCCCGTTGATTACCCTTCGAGTACGGAACCCTAAAAAGCTTGACAAATGGGTGCCCCACGATTGTGGAGGCTGATGATACTCGATCTACATCTGAATTAGCAGCAGCTTTCGACGTTAGCATCAAAACAATATTGCTACATTTGCGTCAAATTGGCAAGGTAAAAAAGCTTGAAAAATGGGTGCCCCATGAACTCAATGATCACTAGCGCGAAGTACGCGTCGAGACGTGCCTTGCACTGCTCAACAGGCACAATCGAAGGAATTTTGACCCGCATTGTTACCTGCGACGAAAAATTGATTCTGTTTAACAATCGTAAGCGCTCAGCAAGCTGGTTGGGCCTCGTTCAGCACCTAAACACGGGCAGTGTTAAACGAAAACTTACCCCTAGAAAAGTGACGGTCACTGTTTAGTGATCTAGCGCTGGTGTGATTCATCACAGCTTCTTACCAAACGGGATAAGCATTACTGCAGATGTGTACTGTGAAGAACTGAACACAATGACGGAGAAGCTCGCACGTCTCCAACCAGCTTTGGTCAATCGCGCGTCCCCGCTGCTCCTGCACGACCACGCGCGGCCTCATACTGCAAAACAGACGTTCTTCAAGTTACAAGAGCTGGGGTTGGAAGCTCTCCGTCATCTGCCGTACTCACCAGATCTTGCTCCTACAACCTTCAACTTTTTCCAAAGGAGATGAACTTAGTTCCATACAAGCTTGGGTCCGGCGTAAACAAAGTTCAAATATATCTTAATTTGAAGATTTAAACACTTGTTACTTACGACAAAAAATCATATTTTTGTAGGACCTGGGGTTTTGTTTTCATTTTGTTTTATTATTTGTAGGTGATGTAGTAAAATCACTCGTTCTTGGTGATAAGTTGTTTCAATAAATTGAAAAAAAAAACACAAAAGTATGCCGTTTTTTTGTTATTATACTCGTATATAATAATATAATAAAATAAAATAAATTACAACTGAATTTTTTCTAATTGTTTAATTATTTTCTGCAATTATTAATAAAATATCATCTAGAAAAGCAGCCGGAGGCTTTACATTGTCTGTTCTATTCCTCTCAAAACCCAAGTAACACATTATTAATTCATTATCATTATGTGGGCGCCACAATTTTTACTCTCCTGCATATCGCGAGAAAACCCAGGGGTCAAGTTAAATTAATTCACGAAAATAAAAACACGAAATATATCCACAAACACAACCGCAATGCCAAATGCGCATGACAAGTTTCAACTCGAAGTTACCATTGGTAACTTCGAGTTGAAACTTGGTAACTTACCAAGTCTCCTTCAAAACGGTCAATGTTCAACGACCATACAGCCTATTCAATCGCGTCCAATATTATTCAAATATTTTGTTTAGTTTAATAACGTACGCTATTCAATCGATTTTCTAAATAGATTTATTTTATTCATTATTAATCTCTACAGATTCGCCTCAATGTTTCAATATTATGAGTTTTTTTGATACTGAAGGCTATTTATTACAAAAAATAGTCTTCATTATCTAGTGCCATAGACAAAATACATAAAAAATATTCAAAAACGTTTTGTTTTTGCTATGGTAAAAACATTAGCTGTCGTTTTTCAGTTTTAAAAAATGTTTTTATGATTGTCCCATACACTACAGAAATAAAAACCATTTAATTATGCTTATAATTTATCGTTATATTCCCTACATATTTTTGTATAACTGTTACAAACGATGTCAACAACCTAATTTCATACATCTCCTTTGGAAAACTTTTCGGCGGAAAAAAAATTCAATACCCGAGAGCCCTTGCATTTGAAGAATTTGTTGCTATAATATATATAATAAACTGCTATTGCGTTGCCAAATATGCATGCATCATTGCATGGGTAACTTTCATTAATAGAAATAAAATATATAGAAAAAAAATACATTATTTCATAAAAAACGGCAAATTAATAAGTAAAGACATAATAATTAAAAAGTATATAAGATTACTAACTGTTATTGTGTAGGTCCTATCTCACCAAAAAAACCAAGTTCGCTGCGAATGACGTTCGCCAATAAGATTTTTAATCTTTGCCTCAAGGGTGACAATGCACCTCTTTTAAAGAATTGGTTGCAGTTATCTGTCCGTGTGCTGAATAGTTGCTTTCCGTTAGAAGGACTGCGAACACTTTGCCGCAGTAAAAATCTTTTTTAACTACTGTTCTTAGGTACGGATATGACGACAGAGGATCACGCCACCGCAATATCGAGTACCGCATGGCGGCGGACGACCCGCGTTTCGACCCGCAAGTGGACCTGCGCACGCGGCTTGAGTCACTCCGCCCGCTTATCGCATCTGCCAACTTGATGAACGCACGCTTCGGAAGAAAGGTGTGTAGCAATAAAATAAAAGACTAATCCTAAATTATAGTGATCTTATTAGTACTATGTTACTAAGAATTTATAAGGATCGTGGGGACGTTTTAGAAACGTTATATGAGCAAACATCTTAAATCGTCTGTATCAACCTTATTGACCTTGCTCTTTCGCGATATTCTCTCTTACACCCCACATGGTCCTTCTATTTTTTTTACTTTGATTTTGAAACACTGGTGATACTGCTTGTGCTCCGTTGTTTTCGACCTCGCAGAAGAAGAAGTATAAAAGCGTGGTTATTAAACATATTTTATAGAGAAACCCCCACAATATGGAGTGACGACCTGGCAACACATGCAGGAAGTCGATGGATTCTTGGGGGAGTCCTATGTCCAGCAGTGGGCTTGTGAACGACTGTGATGATGACAGATAATAACATATTACAAAACCAACTTCTATAAACCAATGAACAAAAGTAATGCATAAGTGATAGGACTTCTCTTCTGCTTATGAGCCTGAATAGGCGTTTTTTTTTTATAGGATAAGGGTGACAAACGAGCACACAGTCCATCTGATGGTAAGTGGTTGCTGTGGCCCATAGACATCTACACCTATCTTTACGATTCAAATAGGAATACAGGTGCGTTGTCATCCGTGAGGACTAAGATGGAATTCCTCGTTTCCAGTAAAAAGGGTCTCCGGTTCTCTACAATCACCATACGAAGCACAGCAGCGTTAAGCTCCTATTTTACACTGATATTCTGTGAGAGCGTGGTCCTTCCCCGGTCGAGCCGACTAGGCCTTGCATTCGAATATTCGGATATTCGAATAATTTGAATAATATACCTTGTCCAAATATTCGAATATTAAATCTGCTATATTCGACCAATTTTCTGAAAGTCAAACTCGTAATATTGATGTACACAAAATATTACCTCTAAAGTTCACGCGTGGCATTTCGAAGGCTGGATTTATTATAGAGTTAAATGGATTCATTTTTCTTCGTAATTGTACAAGTCTAACAAAGCTTGCCGTCAGTTAAACACTAAACGCTTGGCCTCGCCCGATGATCAGGACGTACCGTCAGAGCGTACGGTACGTGCTGACCGTCGGTCGAGCACTCAATCCAGTCTTACGGCGCGCCGCGCCAGTGTTTCGCCCGACCCGACAGGGATCGTCAAAGCTCGGAAGCGATCGAAAACTTGAGAAATAGTGCGGCGGTGTTTATAGTTTGGCGCCTTTGTTCGTCCATTTGCATATTGCACGGGGGTAGTGCGGATGGCGTAGCATGGTTATAATTTTTTATTATTTGTTATCGAGGTTTTAGTCTTTTTGAGTGAGTTAAATTTTGTAGGAAGTCCCACCAGAAAAGAAATTCTCGATAACTATCTTCAAAAATAACAGAAAAAAAGGGTTTGATTCTAGACTGTAAAACTAGGTGGAGCAGTTTAGCCGATATGATCACAAGATTTTTGGGATTAAAACCTATATTGAAGAATCTTATTGATTTAAAGTACGATACCACGTTTAGTTCAGGTGAGCTGGCTTTACTGCAGGTATTGTCAACTTTTTTAAATATTGTAAAGGCAACAAAAGAGACGCTGTGCCAAGAAAATGCAAATCTGCTTACTGCGGAAACAGCCCTTCAATTTATGGTTGCGAAACTTGAAAAGACAAACAGTTTTATCAGTGACAAGCTACTCGAAGCGCTGAAGAATAGAATTGCAGAATGGAATTGCAGAGACGCCTACCAAATTTAATCTGCACATTAAAATATCTCCACAATCCCAGTAAATATTACGCAGAGCCACCTTCGTCTACCTTTCCATCACCAGGCAATATCATTATTACAGAAGTACCTAATAACTGAGATTAACGAGATATACTTTTCTAGAAGACAGAACTCAGATAATGACGAAGATGACATAATCTTAGTTCTACTTCAGCAACGGCAACGCCAACATCAGCAACAAAACGAATCAGACCAGGAAACATCTGAAATGACCTTTAAAGAAGAGTTACAAAAAATGATAAATGACACTAATTCCGCCACTCGTTCAACGTCTACAGCAAATTTATCAGATAGAGAAGAGTTAGAAACGTCAGTACAAATGCAGATGGCGCTATTTGACAGAGGAGGTCCTAGACAAATCCATTTGAGCCAAGCGTATGACTTCCTCATATGTATACCACCTACAAGTGTAGGGTGTGAAAGGGTGTTTTCATCAGCAAAATACATTTTTGGAACCATTTAAGATGTTCTTTAAAAGATGATTCCCTAGACGCATTAAGTTTCCTTAGGTCCCACTTCCAAGGAAAACGTTGAAGATTTATTTTTATTGTAGGATAGGCTTGCAATTGACGACAATCATGCTTAGAAGAAAGCAGTGATGAGGACTAGGTTGGAATGCGCTTGCGTAGAAGATACCTATTCACTCTTGCTTTGAAGGTATTTGAGTTGTACGTGTAGTAAGTGTAAGAATAAGCCAAAGTAAGATTAAAACGTATTTTATTTTTGTACAACGTTGTACGTGTAGTATGTGTAAGAATAAGCCAAAGTAAGATTAAAACGTATTTTATTTTTGTACAACGTCTTTGTAACGCTCATAAATTCTAATACTGATTAATTATTTGTATTCTATCACAGTTGAAAATCATTATTTTAAAATTTTTAAGTTTTGTAAGTAAGCAATATGTAAGTTTGTTATGTGCATCATGTGCGACAGTACGAAATACCAACAATAATGTTAAGAATTTAGTATGTACTTTATTTCTAGTTACATAAAAGATTTTAAGCATGTTGTATTTGTAGCTGACTATTTGTTTTTATTATTATATAATTATCATTACAATTCCCAGATCTCGATTTATAAGACTGTTGTGGTTGTCTTGTTAAGCACCAACTTTTTATAGTTTTTTGTAGAACTGCATTAGTTACTTAACAGTGAAATTCCAAACAGTTCTATAATTTTTAACTATGATTTTGTTTTGATTGAGAGAAATTAGACTCTAAGTAAGAAATTGGCTATTAAAAACATGAGCATTATAACAACTTTTGTTTTTTTAATTATTCGAATATTATTCGAATAATTCGAATAATACCCGAAAAAAGTCGAATATTCGAATACCATAAATTTTCGAATATTTGCAAGGCCTAGAGCCGACCCATTCGTGCTACTACCATAATATAGCTGCAGCATGGCTCTACCACGTATAAAATGTCACGTGTTATCTATTTCTACCTATCCAGACTTGTTGCCTTTTATTGCCGCTAAGCAGCGATGCAAGCACTGCTGTATTCCGATCGAAGCGATACATAATATAATTAATTACAGGCCGTGAGGCACTACATCTTAGTTCTCAGGGGTGACAACGCATCTGTAGCTTTATTTGTTTGAAGTTGATTACAGGTGTCAACGGGCCACTTACAATGTAGTAAGTACCTTTGACATTATAATTATTTTATCATAAGCTGTAATTGTAAATACTCACGTGACTTAAAAAAGGAAAGACCTCAGAGTTTAAGTTTCTTGTCGGTTCTTCTCTGTGTGGGTTTTGTTTTTGTAAACAGGCGTAGTTTGATTGAATTACAGCGAATGAATATGAGCGTGAAATAATAGTTTAATGCCCTGTGTCATGTATGGTGTAGTGTGTGTAGTGAATCGGAGAGCTGTTTTCGTTTACAGCAAAACGAATCATTCCATCTTAGTCCTTAGGGCTGTCAACGCATCTATATTTTGATTCTTAATCGAGGATGGATATAGACGTCTATAGGTTGCTTACCTTCAGGTGGATTGCATGCTCGTCTGTCACTTTTAATCAATAAAAAAAATGTTCATAAGAGCTTTAAATAAGCCTACATTGAATAAAGAACTTTGACTTTTACTTTGAGAGGTAGAGTATACCTAAGTTTGTCTTTCACTTCAATTTTATTAAAAAATCAAATATAACCCGTATTGTACATATTGACCTTGATAGTCAGTGCCGTTCACTTATTTGTGCTACGGTAGTAGAGGCTGGGCGCTTGCAGGGGCCATTGGTGAAAACGCCTCATTTGAGAGCGTTTGGGAGCCTTGTTAGACCTGGCGCTCATTTAAGATATGGGGCAGCGACGTCACTTTTGTCATAATTTAAGTAGCATTCGAGGACGACACTGAAAGTTTTTAGAACTGGCCACTTGTAAACGATATTATAAAAAAATAATTTCAAATTTTGTAAATGGAAATCTGACAATATTATTGAGTATGTATTTTATTAATTTGTCATTTGTTTATTTGTTTACGATATGGCGGCAAATTGAAAATTGTCTGTGTCACGTCAGCATGAATTTAACGCGAGAAAATTTTCGTACAATGATTTTTTATGACTTTCGATGTCATTTAAGTCAACAAGAAAGATTATGATAGACTTCGATTGGCCTTTCACGATGAAGTCCCATCTCATGCCACTGTTTACAACTGGTTTAATGAGTTTAAACGTGGTCGCACTAATCTCACCGATGATTTGCGTGAGGGAGGGCCTTCTACGGCGACGACTGAAGATAACATAAGTGTTGTGTGGCGTATGATAGAGACTGACAAGACTTGAAGAGAGAGAGAGAGAAGAGTGACTTATCAGCAGATTCGGACAAGCTTAGGCATCGGTATGAGTCAAGTGCACAAAATCCTCCATAAACATTTAGCGGTCAGGAAGCTTTGTGCCCGGTGGATAATAATACCTCATAATATGACAGAGGCCCAAAAACTCCGTTGTGTAGATTGGTGTCATGAAATGGTTTAAAGATTTAACGGAGGTGACTCAAATGCTGTGTTCGACATACGGGTGACGAAAGCTGGATTTATTATTATGATCCTGAAGCTAAGAGACAGTCGGCTGTCTGGGTGTTTCCTTCTGAGGAGTTGCCAACTAAAGTGAAGAGAGGTTGAAGCGTAAGAAAAAGGATGTTGGCCTCGTTCTTCGGAAGGACAGGTCGTTACGCAACAATTGTTTTAGAGGATTGAAAAACAGTTACTGCAGAGTGGTACACTAACAATTGTTTGCCACTTGTCTTGGAAAAAGTTCGAGAGAAAAAACCTCGCAGTAGGATTCTCCTTCACCACGACAACGCCTCGTCACACACCGTCAAGCAAACAATCGACTACTTGGCGACGTCAGACGTGGAATTACTGGGTACCCAGTAATTATATATAGCCCTATAGCCTCGACCTCGCACTTTGCGATTTTTATTTTTTTCCGAAGATAAGAGAAAAACTTCGAGGAAATCGTTTTATGGACGCCGAGGAAGCAGTGGCTGCGTTTCAAAATGCCGTCGAAGAGACCCCTAAGGACGAGTGGGCAAAGTGCTTTTTTCAGTGGTACCATTGGATGCAGTTATGTTTTGAAGTAAATGGACACTATTTTGAAAAGATATAATAAAACTAATAACTTGCTAGTTTGTTCAGTTTTTGATTTTCTAAGAACTTCAGTGTCACCCTCGTATGGCATGACTGACGTAATACAGCCAGCGTTTATTGACGTGACGCGACAGTGTCTTGTCACACACAATACGTCGTCAGAAAATGAAGATGCTTTTTTTACGTGGTAGAGCCATGCTGCAGCTATATTATGGTTGTAGCGTGAATGGGTCGGCTCGACCGGGGAAGGACCACGCTCTCACAGAAAATCAGCGTAAAATAGCAGCTTAACGCTGCTGTGTTTCGTATGGTGAGTGTAGAGAACCGGAGACCCTTTTTACTGGCAAAGAGGCATTCCATCTTAGTCCTCACGGGTGACAACGCATCTGCATCTTGAGTCTTTATTGAGGATAGATGTAGATGTCTATGGGTCACAGTAACCACTTACCATCAGGTGGACTGTGTGCTCGTTTGTCACCCGATCCTATAAAAAAAAAATGCTCGTGCTTTAGTATAAATGGTTGCGTGAGTGTAGTTTAGTGGTTGCATCCGCAGGTTGTTTGTTTGATGTTAAATAATAATTGCATCCACTTTAAACCATTATTGAAATACGATAAAACAGGAGCATCAATCCGCCGGCTACCAAGTTACCGTTAAAACTCTACGATGTAGATGTAGTTATTAATTAAAAGTGGTGTCAGCAAAAATTTCTACGTATAATATTAGACGAGTAGTACGCTACGGTACTGGTACATTTGTAAGTGAGGGTCAATCGTCAGGTGGTGTCGAGCGGCATGCGCACCAAGTGCACGTGCCACGGCGTGTCGGGCTCGTGCTCGGTGCGCACGTGCTGGCGCGCGCTGCCGGCGCTGGCGCGCGTGGGCGCGGCGCTGGCGGGCGAGGCGGCGCGCGCCGGCCCGCTGCGTGCGCACCCGCGCCGCCGCGCCCGCCCGCGCGCCCGCCTGCGCTACGTCACGCCCAGCCCCGACTACTGCGAGCCCGAGCCCGCCGCCGGCTCGCCCGGCACGCACGGCAGGTACACACACATACTTTTGCTTTAGTGTGCGTAATCCATACGAAAGTAAACAGAGAAAAGTTGTTCGTATTCTAAGGTAAGCAACGGTTACATTTTAAATTAAATAAAATAAACTTTATTTCAGTAACATAATTCGTACAATATTTAAGTACAAAATACGAGATAAAACACTTGTATTGCAGTTACATTTAGTGCCTATAATGTTTACTACTATTAACATTTTTTAATAAAATTAAAGCGGTAAATGAACTTAAAACCCACTTGTCGGTAAATAGGTACTGCAGTCAAACGACCCCTGCAGCCAACTTCATACAAAGAAGGCTACCTTTGAGGAATGCCTCACAGTCTATAACTTGACACTATATCGCGGTTTTGAGTGAGAAGTAATTTAATACGTGGTAGAGCCATGCTACAGCTATATTAATAGTATAGTTGTAGCACGAATGGATCGGCTCGACCGGGGAAGGTCCGCGCTCTCACAAAATACCAGCGTAAAATAGCAGCTTAACGCTGCTGTGTTTCGTATGGTGAGTGTAGAGATCTTAATCGTCAGGGGTGACAACACATTTGCATTTCGATTCATATTCGAGGATAGATGTAGATGTCTATGGGCCACAGCAACCACTTACCATTAAGTGGGCTGTGTGCTCATTTGTCATTTTTATCTAAAAAAACATTATGCATGTAGTTGTGTAAACATGTATGAAGTGAAACTTGTTTACGACAAATTTTTTTATTTCATATTTTACATAAGTAGGTTAAGTTTCACCGCCTGGACTATATACTATATACCGAGTGACGATAAAGTTATCACATTAAATGAAAAGACTTATCCTACATGTATTTCTTTAAACATACACAACTTAAAAATATAAATAACAATTAATATTCTAATCGCCGTAGCATTTATTTCGTTTTAATATTAAATAACATCATGTAAATGCATACAGATATCACCTGATGAATAATAGAAGGTCAAAGACCCATTGCATTTGAAGACGAATATACCTAGTTTAAACGTTGCCAATTCAAAATACTCAAAAAAGAAAAAATCAAGCAAAAAATGTACTTACGGCTAACAATTTAAGGCATAATTTTATGCGCGAAATTAAAAACAAAGGGACCGCGCGCTGCGGGTGTGTGAAAACAAATTCAAGCGAAAAATTTACTTATAAAGGACGTAAGGCATAATTCTCTATGCGCTAAGTGAGAAGAAATGGGACGGAGTGTCTTAATTCATATTTACCTCTGGCGCGTGTGACTGATAGTCAGACGGCGGCGTCCTTGGGGATGGTTCATGAGTCGTTTGACCTAATTTTCGTTTTTCACGTACACGTCCTTTAAGTTTTAATTGTTGTTTTTTTTGTATTTGTGGACATTTTAATAAGCTTCTTAATTTGTTGTGATAGGACATGTTAATAATACGCTAGATTAGATATTTAATAACTTAGTGGTGTGACCGCCCGTACGCAATTGCACGCTTTTATTTTTTTAAATTTTAAGATGCTTTGTATCACAATTTCACGTCGTATGAATACATTTTTTTCAAAATTTGATTTGTTTTGATTATTAAACTTGAGTGATTCCAAGATTAAAGTGATTATTTGGATAAAAACAATACCATGAAATTTATGATGCGTTGATAACATCGGATTAGCATCGCCTACGCGTGTCTAATTACCTATGTATGGTCAAGTGTAGGTATTATAATTACCTATGTCGATGTCACGTGAGCACTGAGCGCTGTTGCCGCTTTTAGAGGTCAGTAAACTAATATTATCAAGGATGATTTATTTCTTGTCAATTTTTTACACTTTTTATTTTGTTTGAAAGATGCATTTTTTATTTTCTTTTATTATTGTTTATTTTATTATTTTAACAGACACATATCAACTTGTATTAACTGCATTGCTATTTAACGTGATAACCTAAGCGCCACCCAGTATAGTTCAGGCGGTGAAACGTTACAAGAAAATGTGATGTTTTTTTTTAAAACACCATACTAAAGTTCTCGAGTACGTCGATAAAGAAGTTTCACATATTAATAAAATAAGGTAGTAAAGCGAGTGTGTCGGTGTGGGTGTGTGTGCGCGTGTCAGGAAGTGCAACGCGAGCGCGGGCGCGGCGCGCGGCGGCTGCGGGCGGCTGTGCTGCGGGCGCGGCCGCCGCGCCGTGCGCTCGGCGCGCCTCGAGCGCTGCCGCTGCCGCTACCACTGGTGCTGCCGCGTCGACTGCCAGCTCTGCCGCATCACCACCGAGGAACACTACTGCAACTGACCCCGCTCACCCACCGTGCGCTCACCGCTCACCACCACGCCTGCCACAGCCGCATTTTTGAACTTACATTTAAAAGTTCGGAATTTGTTAAGCCTTTAATAAACCAAGTAACTAAACTCACACGCGGATATGCAAAAAACAGTGAATAGAATTTTAAAGTATATATCTATCTAATTAACAAATTTCAGACTTTATTATGCGGAAATTTATTATATTATTGATTTACCAACTAAATTCTGCGTAATCGCTAATTAACTAATATTCACATCTCTAAGACTTATCTTGCAAATAGAATCAGAAAATTAATTACGACATTTTTTTTAATTTACACATCTAGTCCGGCGTGTAAGTAAACTATTATCCTCGTGAATGTACTGCCGAGTCGGAGTCTGAGAACTCTGACCTAAAAATAGGTATAAGAGTCGTCACGAATTCGATTAAGTTACTATACATTTGACACAATACTAACACCAATCCAAAACTATCTAGTGGCACTACTCGCGTCATAAACGGTACCATTACCAACAGTACTGCCACATTATCTGTCAGCTCTGCCAGCGCACCACCGAGGGAACAGTATTATTATCTATAACCGAGAGATTATACTGCAATTTACCCCCTATACCATATACTCACCACACGCACACATCGTCAATGACGGATATACTACAAACCCAGCCACTAAAAATTTATTTGACGTCTTTCGTAGATTGGATCATTTTTGTTACATACAATTATATAATTGCGGTATAGATAAAGCTTATCTACAATAAGACGTTATTGTCTTGAATTTTCCCAGTGAATAAAAAGTTAAGATACTAAAGGAGATGATACTACCAAACTTAAAGTAACAAACAAGATATATGATAGTACGAACTTAAATTATTATCATTATATTCTTCGATCAACAATACCAAATAGATGTCGGGTCGGCGCAAAAAATACGTCCCAGTAAATAAGAGCGCACTGTAGACGTGAGCTCTTATTTCATTTAGTTGTCTTGAAACACAGCCAATGTAAACACGTTTCACAACGCCGCAATGTGTATTTAAAAGTTGCAAGAATAATGCCCGAAAAAGCAATTTAACGGCCGTAGTGTCTTACTTTCGGAAAGTACATGTAGAATAAGTTATATTTTAAGCTCTAAACTAACAAATAATATAATATTTGAAACAAAATTACCGATTTTAAAGCACCCCTACAAATGTTTTGCCAACGTTAGCCAATACACGCGTAAACATTTGTGAAACAGAACAGTAGTATGCATGGAGTAGATTTGTAATCATTTTTAGTAATTTGTTACCAGAACTTTAAATAATGGTAATTGCTACTTTTGTCTCTGTTTGTGTCATCAAAAATAAATCAAAACGATTATTGTACAACAAACTCAACTTATTTTAAGGAAATTAATTCATGTATAAGCAGAAAGGAAAAATCATTAATGTTGAATCAATTTCTTCGAGACAACCAATGAATCGACAGGATAACAGGGGTACGGCAAATTGGTGTGATAAAAAAGAATACACATATTATATATTTATATATAATACATACGCTAAAAACATATATACATACAAAAACTAAAATAAATATATATTGAACTATCTAATTAAATCCTATATATATATATATATATATATATATATATACTATATACTACATTATATTTAATGGCTAGTGTGGAAAGTATGTATACCAACACAGATAAATGCCCAAAACATAAATAATTTTAACTAAACTTATGATCATAGTATAAATTATTTTAGTGTTCAACGCAACTCCATAACTATACTCCTGTAGCACAATTCGAAGAAGCAAACAGAAACGAAACAAAACGACGTAGCCTGCAAGGCAATAACGGGAAAAAGTACTTTAATTTGTTATCACTAAAGGTTGATTTCACACGAAATGTTATTTAACCTGTCTTTTCATTTCCAAGTGACAGGAATAATGCATTGATTAGTTCCTTTTTTGTAACTAATGTTCGTAAGATTTGTGACTTTATTACTAGATGCCATGGTTGTAATTGGGTCGAACATAAAACTGTTGTCTCAGTTCTTTAGTAAACAAATGTAGCTGTATAAGTATATATTCACGAGGACAGAATTTAGCTATGATTTTGTACGTGACCCGTTATCTAGTTGGTATTGTTGATCGAAGGTTATATTACTAATTATCATTATCATTATAGCTAAATTAAATTTGTCGACAAATGTCAACATGTCTTCAAAACTTAGTTCCTCTGTCCGGAGAAGAAACTGTGCAGGTATTATTTTAAAGGCTAACTATACAATAGGAATAAGGAATAGACCGATACGTAATCAAAGTACTTTTGTACTTATTTGGTTCAACAAAAAAATTAGGCTAATAAATGTGTCGCAAACCCGAGCGGACCAATCACCCCACACCCCACCCCACCTGTCAGCACATAGCAAACAATAGGTACAGTCTGCTGCATTTCAATAAATAACATATATTGGATTATCTAGAACATTCCAGATTAAATGATGTTGGTATAGATTTTCTAGCTTCAATTATCTGTTTGTCAAATTTAATTAACACAGTAATAATAGTATTTTTATGCAATAAAATTTCCAATGACAACATGTGTAAAGAAGTTGATTAACAAAATTGGACGCTATTATGCAAAAATGATCCAACCTTTCTGTATTGATTTCTAAATGTTAGACGTTTGAAGTTTCACAGTGGCCTTACTCGATTTGTTTGTAATTATGCTTTTAAATTGGGTCTTTCTCTTATGGTATTGAGTTACAAGTATTAACGTTTGGCGTTGGCATTATTTGTTTTTATAATATACTCATTTTAAACCAGTTTGGGTTGAATCCTTTTTGCAAAACAAACTAGATCATATTCACCAACGATTGCCATCATTTTGTGAGATAAATAAGTACAATGAAACTGAAAAAAATAAAACAAGGTGTATTATTTTTTCAATTTCCCCGACAATATTTGTAAACAAGTATTTAAACCTTAGATTTTAATTTTTAAACTCTCAGGCGTTTTTAACGAAATTGAAAAAAATAACCAACGAAAAATCAAGTCCAATACCAATAGTGTATTTTAGCATATATTAGATATTTATGTTGTGTAATATAGATTTAAAATTCATGAAACGTGTAGAGAACAATAACATTTTAGTGTATGGGTGTAATAAACTTACTGATAATACTAAGATAGGATTAAGAAAACTTAAGAGGTTCAATTTAATAAAATGTCTGTTAATATGTGGTTTAAAATAATAATTTTAGCAATGTTTCATACAATAATAAATTACATGCATAAATAATAAGTTATATATTATTATGCGGGTATTTTAATATAATCTCATTTTTAAAGTATTAGTTTACTAGTCGTTTTTATGTATTAAATATTAAAATTATACTTAACTCAAAAGTTCATGAAATACTATTACAAAAATCCGAGCATTATATATGTTGTTATGAAATCAGCACAAACACATATATTAAACAATATACACACAATAATTAATAGTAATATTTGACAGACCAAGAACAGTAATTGTGTTTAGAATTATTTGCCACAATTAAATACGCTTACGTTTATGTACGTGCATTTAACTATATCATAAAAAATATTGTGACAAGTCTCCGATAAGGCCAGAAATCTTTATTCCACATTATTTTGCCAAAGAAACATGTGAACCACTAGTCATTTTTTGTAAGCCGTGAGAAAAGAATACATTTTAGGTTTTATATTTTTTAGCTTTTAAGAATTCGACTATATCGTTATGCCACTTGTTATCAATTCAGTACTTACAATGTGAGGTTTCTTTTTCTATATAACGCAGACATTATAACAGTAAATGGCATATTAAAATATTAAGCCAATACTTGTTAATTTAAAATATTATATATCTTGACAATAATGTGTTAATGTGTGTAGTTATTAAGACTGTAGACATAGCTGGGTACAAAAATAATATAAAAATTAAAAATTATAGTTGTATGCTTTCTGTATATAATGTACGTTTTTTATTATCTGCAATTTATTTTACTTTCTTAAATGTAATATAAACAATCATTGGTAGATTTAAAAATGTAGTATTCAGTATTTACTGATAATTTAGAGAAACGTCTATTGTACATAAAACGGTACTTATAAACAAGTGTTTGTTCACTATTTATCTTTCATTATTTATAAAAGTTTCAAAAATGTACAATAATGTGTTTTGTGTAGAATAGTAGGTTTGGAAATAAAAGAACTTAGTTTGACAAATGTAATTTATTTCCAGCAAATCAATGAATGTGAGCCCCTTTTAAATGTCACAATATTACAATTAAAACTTTTTTGAGATTTTAAAGAATATGTCAGATAATGGCCAACAAAGGTCATAAGGAACTGTTGACGTGAAATGAGTGAGATTAAATGATAAAAGAAAGCAAATTAACTTTTTACGAATACAAAAATAAATTCTAGCAAGACTTAAAATCACACGTCAATTGCACTTAGGTTTAAATCACATCACTTATTCTTACAGAGGTAAATATATATAATGACACTGGTTTATAAAAAAAAGTGCATAAGAAATGGGAATTTTCGAAGCCTTAATTTTACAATTTTTCATAATAATACACACGCACATACACACGCTTACAACCTTTCAACAAAAATTGGAATAACAAAATGTTCTAACTTTGTTTGGTTCATCATAACTCTGTATGCTCGTGCTCTTTACCTGGAAAGCAAGGAATTTTAGCTTTTAATTACGAATTTCCTTAAAACAAAATGTTGTTAAAAACACATACTACTGATTTTCGAGTTTGCTTGTGTTGTGATTGTCCGTGCTATTATCAAATTGATACTGCATATAATTACGAGTAACTACCGAGTTATCGCGTACAGTAAATAAAAGTTAAGTTACACAGCCTATATACGCCCCACAGCAGGCACAGGTATTTAGGGCGAGGCAGTGTCCGCCGCGCCAATGCGTGTTAGCGAATCAAACATGTTTTTTTTTT